GAATCTATGAATCTATGAATCTATGAATCTAACCTTGTTCTGTCAGAGAAATAGGATAAGGGATTCTTGTGCACATAATGTTTTTAACCAAATCATATGCACAAAGGTAAATGCAAAAAATAATGTCATTGACTGAGTCCCAAAAAACTGAGTCCCAAAAAACTGTCACGATTAAGTAATCAGCTATATTCATTTGTACTTTACATTATATTATGGTTGTTGCACATTTTTTGTTTGTTTTCTGCAATTCATAGTCCTGATGAGAATTTTTATCATCAGATGAGAACTGTTATCTATTTCCTTATGGTTAGTATAATATAGTAAAGATAACATGCTACTTATGTAAACATATTTTAGTCCCAATACATATTTCCCCTGCCGCTTCTGATTATTTGATTTAATTGTGCTGAATCTATAAATAAATACTAAAATCATTAAGTATTAACTGAGCACTGTTCATCTTCAATATGCCTTACTAACATTAATTGATCCTTATAACACCCCTGTAAAGTATGAAAGTATTATTATCCTGATTTTCCCAAGAGGGGAAACTAAGACAGAAATTAAATGATTAGTTCAATGAGTCACTCAGGACTGAAATCAGACCACACCTCTCTTTTAGTATAGTACAGTTTATTGTGAATATTTTAATTTTAAAACAGACTTTGTTCGATTTAAACATCTCTCTCAAAATACAATGCTTTTCCACGCATTTATAAGCCATTTATTTTTCAGGATACTGCAGGAAGAAGATGATGCTATACCACAAAGGGCTGTGGATGCGTGTGCTCATGAGTGTGTTTGTGAGTGTGCATGTATATTTTCATCTAGAAGATTTAAGGAAGAGATTTTAAAATAAAGAAAAAAATAAATCCCCAAAATGTCAGTGCCTATATGGTCATATCATAAACAACTGCACAACATGCTGCCAGGCACAGCTTTACAGTGGTATCTTGAACATTTGTGACAGTACAGGATCTCTGTTAACCAGCCCTAAGGGAGAGAATGTTAAAAGTAGCTTGGAGGAACATAAAACGTTGTTGGCATAGCTGATTTCATATGCCTTGCTCTATCTTTTGTCTTTCTCTCCAAACCCACCCCATCTTCTCTTCTATCCGAGTTAAAATAAATAAAAAATGTACCTTGATTGTACTGGTGTGTGCTCCTGGATATTCTTTTTCTTCCAATGTTGACCAGCGCTGTACAAATTTTGATACCAGGGGATCATCATAGTCCACTATCTGAAAGCCTGAGACATTAGCTCCTCCAAACTGGATTTTTGATAAATCTCCATCAGTAAATCCCTGGGCACAGAAAACATGTGTCAGTTATTTCACCACGTCTATCAGATTAGTAGGTACAAGTAAAGAGTTATCATGCAATTTTTATTGCAGAAATGTAACCCAACATTTCCCTTTCTCAGGGATCTGGGCTCAGACCAGCAGTGAAGATACAGAGTGTGTCTTGTCACTCTCCTTTACCATTTAAAAGCTGAATTTAGCAGTCCTTTTTAATGATGAGCATTTACTCATGTGAGCAATCTCATTTGTTTCAATGGGACTACTCATGTGAGTAAGTACTCACTATCATGAAAAACAGCTACACAATCTATCCCTAACCAGTGACAGTGAGTCAGCCACTGTCTCACTGAAGGATTGCTATGATCTGCCTTCACAGAGAGTATGGTGGGAAGACCCTTATAAGCCTCCCTGTAATAAAATATTATTTTTGCTGATATGAATATTCTTATTCTGTCATGGAAATAAAGTTGTTCTAGCCTAGAGAATGAAGCAAGTCATTTTAAGACAAATTGTTAGGGCCAAATTCCACCCACAGATACATGGAAACAGGGCTCCCCCTAAAAATTTGTGGAAGCCAAATACATGAATCTGAGGGCCTAGTTATGTCCCTGCTTCACGTATATGCAGTATAAAGAGAAAATGAATTACAGTGAAGTGTCACTTGCCCACATTAAATGAGGGGAATTATGTTAATTTTGACAAACTAGCTGTCAAATAAGCAGGTGATTTTTCAATTACTTCTCATTTTTTTCTTTATGCTTCATGAAGAAAAGACCAGTGTAAACAGCAGGGAGGAGCAGAGCTGTGAAATAGCCTTGAAGCCAAAGACTTTCTATGGCAGAAAAGGGGAAGCCAATGAAAGGATTCAAAAAGGTGGTCAGAATGACAGGCAAGAAATACAGGATGATTTTAGCAGCTGCTCTCTGAACAGACTGGGCGGGGCAGGATAATGTGCATGTCAGAAAGAGCAGAGAGAAGGTTATAGTAATTAAGACAGAAGATGATGACAGCCTGGATAGGTTTTCTCTGTAGTCTGAGTTTCTGATTTTCTTGTGGCACTGTTATAGGGAACAGTTAAGGTAGTTTGGGTCCCTAAGCTGTGAATGTCCATACTTTCAAAGTATTTTCATTTCTTGTAAGTTTAATGTTAACTCTGAATTTCCAGAGTTTTTCATTTTCTTAATTTTGCTCTCACTACAATATTCTTGGTAGGATTCTTAGTGCTATGTACCCTCACCTTCACCTTTAAGATTTTCTCTGGGAAATTCCATTTTTTAAAATAGTGCTAACATGGGACTGGTGAGAACAGACAGCTGGAGAGGCAGAACAGATGGGGGTATCCCTGTCTCCTTGAAGCTGATATGAGGGAAGCTCCACAACTACGGACATTCAAAGGTCACCCAAGTGCGTCTCTAACCAAGTCAGTAATATCAGTTCCTCACTTATCCTTAGGAGCTTGTTAGCCCTCCAGTAGTCTGAGGCAATGATGACACTTATCCTCATCCCTTCACCCTTACTTGGCTCTTCAGCCTCTGACAAGCCTAAATAGTGCCCTCAGAGGAGAAAGACTGTGGGAGGGAGAGGGAGATAAAGAGCCTTTTAGAGCAAGTCTACGTGGAGCATTAGTCTGGTGGAAATTCTAACATGTACTAACATGTTGCGCACTAAGTGGCTCGTGGACCCAGCTGGCATGTACTAAGAGTCCTCTAAAATGTTAATGTAGTCCATTTCAAACAGCATTATGGTAAAGTGCACTAGGCAACTTTTAGTGTACACCGTGTTGACATGCCTAAGACTCACTGTGGGTTCTCCTCTTCTGCTGACCACAGGAGAACCATAGGAAAGGGGGAGAGAAGTGTTCTTCAGTCTTGTTCCCAAGCCCCATGTGATCTCCAGAACCCTCAGTAAATACCATTTTAGTAACTTGTGTATATTTTTAATTAGTGTGTATGTAGCTATAATAGTTACTGTATGCTAAACATACACCAACAGTCAAATCCTTCAGTCCTTTTTCTTACTGAATCAAAAACATACTCTGATTTCAATAGGAGAGAGACTAGGTCCCGCTCCTGCTCCCACTGAGGTTAATTGGGCTCTATGTCAGGACTGAAGGATTTGGTCCCAGCTAATGAACTGCTGATCCATGATGGGTGTATATTTATCATTCAGCTGTACAATTAAAATAAAGATGTTTTGATTTTAATAATCTGTTATTGCTAAACCAACATAGATAATTATGCTAATTAATTTCAATGGAAACCTTAATCTGAGACACTTAACTCGAAGTGCACCCAAAATGTTTTCACAATGAATACAAAAAGCAGCAGCAACACCAACCACCATGACCAAAAACTGTCACAATTGCTATGGTGATGCATCTTAGCTGCTGTGCTCACAGTGGATGCCACATTGCTTGCTAATATGAGCATTTACATAGGAATCATGCAGTCTTTCTGAATCTGATCTTAACCGCAGGTTGTTTTGATATAAACATGCAATACATAATTCACAGTATTAACTATATGTCATCGGGAATCCTTCAAAGTCAAAGATGATTGTCTTTCATTGAATACCCAATTCAAATTATCTATGGGTCCACTGATGGCTGATAAGATGTACTTGCCTTGTATATTGTGTAGAACATTGTATACTGATCTGTACTATTTGCATTTGAATTCTTACTGTACAATTTTGTAGTATGCAAATGTATTATTAAAAAGGAACCTCCAAAATATTTTTGAGATAGTTTGGTTCAGTAAATTACAATCACACAGGTTCTCTGCTGCAAAATGAGAGCAAATGGATGAAATATCAATCTGTGTATTGAAATGGATTAGTCACACTTTTTAAACAAATATATTTGCTGTCCTTCAAAACTAAAAATTTATTTGAAATTAAGCAAAGTTTTGTAGTTCTTCAAATTTCATAGGCATGACATATTTCTCTGTTGTTTAATAAACCTGCAGTAAATGGGGGTTGGGTCTTTTATTCTCAAGAAAGATAAAAATGAAGTTAATTCCAAATATGTTTCCCTACTATTCTGTTTTTAAACAGACATTCAGAATCTGAGTCTCAGTTAAGCCAACACCCCTTTATATCACGCTGGCAGCAGAAAGGGGCCTCAAAGTGGGTAGAAATGGCCCCTACAGAATATGTCCTGCACATGCGAGTGGAGAGGCTTCTTGATGTCCCAATAGAGGGTAGATTGGGAGAAGGCAGTGGCATGTCTGGAGCTGTTCTGTTTTCCCAGAGCCTTTAGAGGACCAGGGGAAACAGAATGTAAATTAGAGCAGCCCTAAACCAAGTCAAGCACCTACAAAGTGCCACAATACAGGAAACATAAAAGTGGCTTATAGCTACTTTGCGCCCATGTTCTCTCCCTGCCCCAAGCACAGGAACTGAGTAACAAAGAATCAAGCCTTCAGAATCTGGCCTTTGGGCCAATTTCTCTACTGGTGTAAATCAGCATACCTACATTGAGTTCAATGGCTCTTCATATTCAAAGAAAGAAAAATAGCAGTTCAGATCATTAACCTTAAAACAGTAAAGAGTTTGCTAAATCTCTCTTAGATAGGCTATTAACTAGAGGGTCAGATTGTGATTGACCCCTATGCAAGTGTGCTGTAGGGAGAGAGGGCTGTAGGAAGAGAGGACTGTACTCAATTTTTCCTCTTTCTGTGGCCTGTCATTGGTGCAGCCCCCACACTCAGATGGCTTCCTCAATGAGCCCCAGAGCTGAGAAGAGTAGGGAGGCCTCCTTTCCACATCAGCCCACTGAGCAGGCTAATCACAAAAACAGGAGAAAGTTGTACCATCCTAAAGATGGTATAGTCTGGGCACTGCCCTTGTTCTTAAACAATGTGCCATTTGCGGGGCCACTCACTGCTCATAGCATGGTGCAGCTCCACACTGCCACTTCTTAAGCCACTGATAATGTCACAATTTGGCCTTGGGGGTCCATTTTCTGTCTCGGTTTTGGTCTTGATTGTTCAGTCCTTACTCATGTTGCTGATTGCCAACACAAATATTGTCACTGAAGTCAGTGGGATTATTTGCCTGATCAAGTGCTTACCAATGTGAGTATGAACTCCAAAATTGGGCCCTGACACTAGAATCCCTTAAAAGAAAATAATGTAGCATGATCTTGGAATATAAGGTTATTTATTGGCTTTTTGTAATAGTTTAGTGACACAGTTTTACTGATCTTTGCAAAATCTAGACCAAGAGTTTTCAAAAGAGATAGCATATAAGATATAGTTCACCCAACATTAATTGGGTGAGCTCAAGTTCAACATTAATTGGGTGAGCTCAAGTTCAACTTAATATTTATATATTATATATATTATATCCAATAATATTGTATACTTATTCTCAGCCCAGTCCTGACCACACTAATAGCCAAAAGCAAACCCAGTCAACATTGTGATGGGAATAAATATCAGATGTCAGTATTGAGGTGCATTTGGAATAGTTTAGTTGGATGGTGGCATATTACTTCTGTACATCTGACTTACTTTACTTTTTGTCTTTTCATTTTAACTACACATATAACATCCAATGTAGGAAAGACCTGCTATGGCTGTCCTGTAACATTCCATTAACTTCAGTGAGAACTGAATGCATGGACTAATTACAGTAGCAGCCTAAATGTAAAGCCTAGGAATTTTGAAAAGAGAAGATGCACCAAGAACAAAGCAGAAGGACACAAAAAACTGGTTCCCCCAATTAATGGCACAAATAATTTGCAATGGTAATGTTTTTTCCCTAACTGAATGATGTGGTCTACATGGAGGGCAATGAGTGTTCTAATTCCCACATATACTCAGACTGCTCTCATGCATATAGTTTAAAAGATTGATCCTGCAAAATGCTGAACATCTTCCTGGAGGTGATGAGCACCCTCAACTCCCATTGAGGGGAACCTGATAGAAAGCATTCAATACCTGAACGCACCAGCCCCAAAAACATTTTTGTAAGAAATAAAATAGCAAAAGTTTAGCAAGGAGGAAGAAATTTAACATCCCCCCCACACCAAAAAAATTTCTATTACAAGCTCATAAAACATAATACTGTCCTGGTATGTTACTATTAACGCTAAAAAAAGTAACGCAGGCACATGGTAATAATGAAATCACTTACCAGATTTGCAATGATGTAATGGTATCCTTTCACATGTTTACCAATCGTAATAACCTGTAAAAGAAAAGAAAACTCATTTTAATTGAAAATGAACAGGTACTACATGGGCTTACCCTAAAAAAGTAAAATACCCCCAGATTAGTTCTAGTCACTAATCTTTATTTATTTATATTGTGCTTTTTCAAAATATTTGCTTTTATTTTACCCAGAAAAGCCATGGGCCAGATCCTCAGCTGGTACAAATCAGCACATGTCCATTGAAGTCAACAGAGTTATGATGATTTACACCAGCTGAAGATTTGTCCCCAAGACATTGAGAGAGGTGTATTGAATTCCAAGGACTAGACTGTATCTTTAGGCATACTCCAATTGTAGTCCCAGCAGACACTGTGCCTCAGACACACCTTCTGTGGCACAATTCCCTCCCTGCTTCCTCCTTACTCTGAAAGAGTAGTAATTTACTGTTGGCAGTACCAGCAGCAAATGATGACACCCTCTGTGCTGGCTCAGCTGTCCTGGACACTAATTGGTGGAGGCAAGGGGAAATGGAGCCAAGGCTTTGCCCATCCCTGCCATGCTGTCCACTCCCTACTTATTGGCTCTCAGGGGAAATGGGAAGGGAGGCACAAGTGGCCATGCCTGCATCCAAGATCTAGGTAGTCGATCTACACTGGCACCCATCAAAGCTGCACATTTTTCTATAAAGTCAGGCTTTTGTTTGATAGAAACTTTAGCTTCATTCAATTCATGTAAGATTTTATATTTTTACATCTTGGCAGGTATACTATTATAAAAGATTTAGGGTTCATTATCACTGTATTTATATTTGCTCACAGAGTGTTCTTAGGAGGTGAAAATTAATGTACCAGTCAGCTTGTAATTAGTTTTTTTTCTGTTATTAATTGGTTTCTGTGAAGTATTGGATAATAAACTAAAATTTGGAAAATGATCACACTCAAAATTGTACATGAAATTTAGTATGGACCCCAAAATACTACTTAGGCAAAAAAAAAATTGCCACTCCCCAAAGCAGTCATGTCTACTCCAAAATGGCAATAAAATATCAGAAATATAGAACACAGAATGGATTTATATAGATAGTAGTTTTGTTGCTTGATTTTGAGTCAATTTTAAAGATATTATTTTTCAGTGAAGCTAGGGATGAATGAATACATGATTAAATTTGGTCAGAAAATTTGCAATTATTGATATAATATATCTGTGGCATTTATATCTTTTTATATGATCTCTTCTGTACTATAGGTGTCATACCATATGTATTACTTAAAAGCTTGATTCTTCAAACACTTCCTGAGTGTAGGGCTTATTAAGTGAACAGTCTCATCATCACTCTGCACTATTGACTTCAATAGGACTATTCATGGGCTTCAAATTATGTATATGCTTAGGTACTTTCCTGAATCAAGATCTATACTTGGTGTTTAAATTGGTCTGACAGAAATAAGCACTATGCTTGGCAGGAAGTGTTTGCAGAATTAGGGAGTGAAAGTGACACTGACAACTTACAAATCAAAACGTTGCCTGAATGTTTTTCTACTTACTTTGTAAACACCTCTGAAAAAGATTAGAAAATAAAAATCTCTTTTTTCTAATTTGTTTACCCTGTACATTTGACAGTACTTTGTGTGTAGTCAGTTTCATTGACTCCCTAATACAATCTTTTGTCAATCAGTTTGCCCTGTTGTGTTGGTCTTTCACATAGTAACAGGAGAGAAAAAAAACATTTTTAAAATAAGAAAATACAACTGCAAACCTGCCAAAATTAACAGGGACAGTCTGGTGGGAGCACAGACCAATCTGAAGTTGTATAGGGTGAAGCAGCCCAGATTGTACTAGGGCTGCCTTAATCTCCCTCACGGCTGATTTCCACCGCTTTGTAGTCAGTATGACCTCTGGTAACAAAGGGTACAGATTAATAGTGTGAGAAGTAGCCTACTCTAGTGGATCAAGCATGGGACTGACAGCAAGAACTTTCAACTTCTGCTCTGGCACTAGTCAAATCACTTAATTTTTTATCATTATTTATCTTTCTAAATTTGGGATAAAAATACTAGTAATATATATAAGTGTTAAAATTCACCAGAATGTACACTAACCTCTTCAGTAGCTGGGAGTCTAATAAATTCCAGACTCCCTGCCAATTTAGAGAATTGTCCCTTGAAAATCATTTGAAAATGCTGGCAATTCTCCACAAGCCGCTAGGCTCCAGATAGCCTGCATCAGGAGTCCCATCCCAATGTCTGCCCTTTGCATAGTGCTCTGATTATGGTGGACAGGAGTTGGTTACTTTTCTAATATTCCTTCAAAAATCCGGAGTCAGGCAACAAATCATGAGATTTTTAAAATGACTATTTTATTTGCTCTTGCTTTTGAGCTTTTAGGAGGTAACATTTTCAAGATTTTCTCCTCAAACATGAGGGCTAGTAATTTATAGTTTTTAAAAGCAGAAATTCTCACAATCACTTGATAGCAGACACTGCGGCTTTAAGAAAAAACCCCACCAAATATCATGAGATTCACAATAAAATCACATGAGCTGCCAATATTGCTTTTCCAGGGATTGGAAGCCCACTCAAAATACTAACCGGCTTTGAGTTTAGGGAGGACATTCCAGATGCACTGGGATTAGGCATTACATGGACACTTGCAACAGTCTCTTTTCTGGGAAGTGACAGTGACATCAAAGACTCTACCCAGTTCAATAACTGTACTGAGAGGAAGGCACTCTGGGTCTGCACTATTCAGTACACCTCCCAGTTTTGAGGTCCTAATGTAGGTGCTGATCTAAAATAATTTACAATCAATCCAGAGTTTTAAGGGAGTCACGTGGTTCAAAGACATTTGCATTTCCCTGCCTAGCAGGTGACGCAAGGGACCAATAGAGCCATCTGCTTTTACACTGCCCTAAAAAAATAAAGACTGGAAGAAGGAGGGACTCTTCAGGTCTTCCCACATCTTTCAAATAAGTCAGAGGAGGAGCAATTTGAACAAGGAAGGAGATTTAGTTGATTCTCTCATTTAGTTTCTGACAAATTCACAGAGGCAGGGATGAGCATCCTGTAATTTACATTAAGCCAAGAATTAGTTGGCCAAATTCCACACATTAGCTTCAATGGAGTATATGGGTATAAGTAAATGCAATACCTAACACCAAGTATTGTAAATGTTAAGGCCAGAAGGGACAATTGGAGCATTTAGTCTGACCTCTTGCAGGCCACAGAATTTCATCCAGAAACTCTTGTGTTGAGCCCACTGATGACGTATGGTGTATGAACATAATTAAACTAATTACTAGTTATATGCATTAGATTATTTAAAGCCTATTTGGTTATTAAATATTTTTATTACTGAGGTTTAACAACTATGCATATATGCATGTAGTTGCTGCTCCAAGAGACATTGCAGTTAGATTGAGTAGATTAGTTACTCCATATTAAATGATTATCAATTATTGGTTTGGGATTTTATAATTGGTGATTGCAAATCTATTTATTGATGAGTAGCCACTGTATTAGATATAGAAAAAAATAATAATAAACCCACATTAAGCAACAGACTTACTTCCTTATCCGAAGTTTCTTTTTGCTACATCAGCATCATAGAAACACATCTATTATTGCTCCTCTGGCACAATGGAACTCTCAACAATAAGAGTAAAGCACGCGCGTGTGTGTGTGTTCGTTCCAAGACTGTGCAACAAACTTTCCCATGAACTAAGGAACATCACCAACCTCACCACACTCCGCTCTGAGAACAAGGTGCATATCTTTGATCTTGCCTTCTCTAACATAAACACATCGCAATAGGCATATGTATTTTAAAAAATCCCACCAAAACAAAACACTCCACTAGGGAGAGGATGAGAGAACAAACACGTGACAGATATGTAGTCATATTGCTTAATACACTACTGAAAGGTACTCAGATACTACAGCGATGAGCATGATATAAAAACCTATATAGAACAGAAAAGATTCAAAGGGTAAAGTAACTGATTATCAAAATAGAATCATACATAAATAAAAACTGCTGATAAAGCAGCACTACAGGAGCACTCATTATGTATCCTTATACAACCAGAAGTCTTCCATTTCTGCTGTCATTTAAAAATTGAGTGTAGCAAACCTGATCAACAATGTCGTTCACTTTATCCCGCTCGCAGTCCAGAATCACTCGTCTTTCCTTTTTCACCTCCAGATCTTGAAATAGTGAACGGTAAGTTTCATCTTTTCGGTCATTGTTAATATTTCCTACATTGATAGCAGTCACTTGCCATTTCTTTTCAGCAGCAGAATCCAGGACCGCTTGCAATGTTGATAAGCCTGGTAAGAGGTGAAAGACAACAAATAAAGTCGCAAGAATAACACAGGCCCATAACATGTGAATTGTAGCTAATTTATTTTAAAGACCACTCAGTAACTTGTGTGGCTGACAAACAGAAAAAGACAGCTGTGACAGAACTCTCCTGAAAAGGTGATGCACCTGGCCCTGATCCTCCATGCCTTGTGCACACACAACTTCCATATAGGTCATTACAAGGAATACAGGATTGGATCCTATAAACAATTACATTTTGTTTTTGCTTCAGCTGGCTTCAGGAAGAAATTGTATCACCCTACAATAAAAGCTTCCAACGCATTTGGGAGATACTCTACTTTTCATAAGAGGCCTTTTAGGAGAAAAATGATCCAATTACAGCAGCGGCATCTCTTGTTTATTACTAAATGCTATTGAACTGTTTACTTTCCCATGCTTTAGCGGCAATGCATTTAAAGCCTGATCCTGATCCCAGTGTCATTGAGGTCAAGGCAAAACTCCCAGTTACTTCAGTGGTGCTTCTTGAGCCATTATTTCTGTTGACTAAAGTAATAACCCCAGTTATAGAAGATCTGATTAAATGCTTTTCTTTCTAACCCTAAACAGTTTCAGTACTAACACCTCACAAGCAATTTTTACAGATGTCTGATGTTATTTTATTTTATTTTGGAAGGACATGGAATCTTGATAGAGAGATGGATTCTGAGTACAATTTCAACAGCTAACAATATCCTGTAAGATCAGTAGAAATGTTAATGGTTTACATTTCTCTTACACAAAGTAAAGGAGAACAGAATAAAGAGAGATATGATTCAGTGCCAGTAATGAAAGCCTACCCTGAAATAAACACTATTTCTCCAACTGCCAGCAGTGAGTGAGAATTATCAGCTATAAATTTTACCCAGAGAATCCCAAAAGGAGTGTTTCTAGGATGGCATATAGTATTTATCTCAAGTCAGTAGATTTTTCACAACCACACTGGTGTCTGTGTATAGTTTATCTACCATAAAACCTGAGTAGTCATTTCTGATTTGTGTAAATAAACTGAGCCATGCATTTTCTTTGAGACAAGTTTCTGCCACAATATGTAAAGAAAGTTTCACACATTACTCTCATTAACAATAACAGCAGTTACACACATAGTTGGACAAGGAACACCATGAGAATTAAATTTGAATTGTAATTTGCAAATGGTTCATTAAACTAAGACCAATAGATTTTTAACAATTAATTTTGACACTTTGAAAATGTTAATGATATACAAGATTGGTCACCATCATTTCAGACTTAAACCTCTACATTCATTGTCTCCTGAAAACAACTGTAGATCTTTACATTGTGTGTGGGAAATCTTTTATTTTTTGATGGATGTTGGCTTTTTAAAAAAGATATAGATATCTTATCTAAAAATCAAATTAACAGACTCTAAAACAGATCAGGGCAGGCCAGCAAAACCAGAATCATTGTCCTAGCTCACATTTTGCAGCTTGCAGTCCTTCCACGTCTTTAAACTATACACTTTCTATGTGCTGGCAAGAATTTTAGTTGGGCATGGTTTGAATATATATTGTTATTTGCAATATATTCCCATGCATCTTTGCTCACAAAGGTTTCTATGCTTTAAACTTAGGTGTAGACTTGTTAAATCTCCCTTAATAAATAGAATCTTCCTTGGGAGACTCCCTCTTTTTAGTGCCTTCTCCACGGATCCCACGTGGCAGCTTGGACCTCTTGTTTTTTTTATGGGCAGGCTCAATAAAGGGCCTCATGCAATAGATTGCATCCTTAAAGAACCACAGATTAAAGAACAGCCACAGCAAGGTCCCTACACAATTAGGGGTAACAGGGACAGCAGACCCTGGTGGTGGGAATGGGTCACTGCACCTCAGTAAATTAAAGCAGCAGTACCAGGAGTGCAACATGGTTTCCAAGTGGGAGTTGGTCAACAGAGAAATGAAAGTGGCTCATTCACCCGAGAGCAGGACTCATGGTCCAAAAGGATTACATGACGTTATGGGAAAGGCAACCACAACTGAAACAACAGAGGGAATTTTAAGAGAGTGGGGGAGGGCAGAATTTTCCTGGCTAGCATTTGGCCAGGACACTTGGGTTTACACCCCAATCCTTTCTGACCTCTTCAGTGAAACCCCACAAGATATTTAACTTCCCTCCCATACACACACACTGTGTAGCATAGTTTTATGTTACACTGGATAGATTATACTTATATATATATTTTTAAAAGTTTGATCCAACTTTAGTGCCTTTTGCATTGGCTTTGATTTGCACATGAAAGATGGCTAGGTCCAACAAGGGACACAAAGTTGAGCTCCCTCATCATCAATAACTGCCTCCAAGGGGCTTTCAGATTGTTATAAACTGATGTAAAGAGCTGCACAGACGAAGCCATTTGCAGTACACAACAAGACATTTTACTTGTCCTGCAAAAGTCAGGAACTACATCTACTTGGACTTTATCTATTAACTATGTACATAGAGATTTAGACTTCTCTCATAACACAAGTCACTCCCATGGCCTCCTCTACTTTTAAGGAAAAATCATAGAGTATTTATGATTGACCTAGAGAGAAAGAGAGGGGAGAAAAAAGGGTGGTGATTTTTTCATTCAAATGGATAAATGATTCAGGTTGTTATTGCACAGTCATCAAAATGCAAATTAGGGTATTGATTCATACATGAAATCTCGAGATTTCTGGCCCTTCAGCCTTAAGAGGTGTTTGATAACCCACTTTCGTGACACTTATACATGTAGAACATTATCACCTCTGATGAGACTCAGACAATGTTCATTCCATGAAATCCTTCTGAGTAAATGTAGCAAATGACATTTTCCCTCAATGAGTTTAGTTTTTGGAGCAAGGAGATGGTTACGTATGGACATATATCTGACATATTGTCCCTATTACTGGACGTGTTTATGTTGACATTGCATAGCTGTTAGGGTGGCCCCAAGTGCAAAGAGAGAGTGCATGAGGCCTAGTTCTAATATATTAAATCTTCAAGTACTAATTCAGAACTTGGGGAAAAACACTTCTGATCCTCAAGTGCTCATAATGAGCACAGATAGTTAGTTCAGTGATCTTTTGAATGGGAGGACTAAATGGAGGCAATTGCATAAAATGTCAGATTGGCATTTTCTTTTTTGAATTAGTAATTTGGCTGCAGATAGAATCCTCTAACACTGTCTCCGTTCTCCCTACAACCTAGGCAAACTCTAGTTGCTACCACTCAGTATTACAGACAATGCACACACACACACAAAAAGGTATAGAAGGTAGAAAACACTAAAAAACAAGATGTGATTAATCCATACGAGAGCAAGTATTGTACTAAATAATGGTCTGATCCTTAACGGTGAATGGAATGGGATGTGAGAGCGCTCAGCACTTTACAAGATTGGTCCCTAACAAAGGTACTGGAGCTGTAGTAATAAACTCACTGTTGCAGAATAAGTAATTGAATTGTAATTGCTATTAGTTCACTTTATTAATGTTTTATCTCTTCCCACAGTAGAAGAAAACCTATAGACGCCTCCTTGGCACTGGTTACTGAGGTGATGGTGTTTTGAGCTGAAAAATGGCTTTTCCTCACTTAAGGTCCAATTTTGCCACATTTATTGACATTGAGAAGTACTTGACTCTGCAGGTAGCTCCATTAAAATCAATGAGAAAACTCCAGGAGTAATACATTTTGAGTAGTGTTGCAGATTCATGCCCCTAGAGATTTACAAATGGCACCTATCACCTTCCCTACTTCAGTGCCTTAGGGTTTGGGTGAAAAAGCAAACAAAAAATGGCAAAACCAAAATGTGGCAATATATAACTATTTCACTTAGTTATTTACTCCTTTCAGTACAGCGGACAGTAAGATGTACTGTAGAAATGGGTGCTTTGAAGAATTTTCCTAAATAGAAATCACATGCAGTGTATTGGCACACACTGCAATGCTAGCTGATTGATGGAGCATTGAATAAGCTATTTGCCCTTTCTGCAAAGACAAAGAATGTTTCTGATTCAAATGTGAACTTGAAGAGAATCTGAGAGAAGTCCAAGTTCAGGGATCATACTGCATGACATGAAGTCATTTTTAGAGGTCAGATGAGAGCTTTACTTTACCTAACTGCAGGGCTTAAAAAACAACAAAAACATAAACGTGCCTTGAAGAAGCCCCTTTTGATTTTTTTGAGCAACACAATGCAGACCAGACCAGTGGAAGGTGGTGACATTTGAAGGTGAGTAGGCAAAACCCACTGCACTGCTTGATAAAAAATGGTATGCCAGGGTAAATTTGAACTATCCTTTAAATCTAACTACATCTTGACCATTTTCTGCACATTTATTTACGGCAAGGCAACCCTAAGCAAAGTTTTTGGTCCATGAACATACTGAAGAACCACCACACACTCGCTTTCAAAGATAGAGGACAAAATGAAAACAGAAAGAAGATGAAGAAAAAGTAAGGAGCACTTGGAGACAAATAAAAAAGTGGAATTCCAACAAAGATAGTCAAAAACCTTCCCCTTTTCAACTTTGTATAAAACCCCCAAATACAATTAATTAACATACCTGCCACCTTCCAACTTTGCAAATTGTTTGTTTTGATTGTATAAAATAATATGAGTACTGTAATAAAAATAATCTTGAAAGGAGATAGGAATTGTGCAGGACATGCCTGGAGTGAGTGGGTTATCTGAGCCATGGGTAGTGGACTTTTGATTTGGTACTGTAAGTCAAATTCAACAGAGGGGGAGAGGAAAGGGTTGTGTCTAGAGTGCTAGAGCTTTTTCTTTAGTTCCTGTTTTGCTCTGGGATCTCCACTTACAGCTTCTGCACCCTGTGTGAAGTGACTCTGTGGGACTGAACCATACCTTGATGCCCTTGACTACCACCAAGTCTAATTGGACCTATGAGTGGTGTTCTAGGTGGATGGGATTTGTGATGAAATGAAGTTCTGGATCCTCATAAATTGGACAATTATTTTTTGGAACTATGAGACTGCAGCAGTGAATTATATGTTGGGGGATTTGCATTTAAAGTTGCTGTTTGGTAGAAGAAATGAACTGACTGAAATTTGGTTTAGTTCTCTAACTTTAATTGGTATGGCACGTGTAACCTTAATGTTCTAATTTTTTAAAAAATAGAGAAATGTTAAGATGCATTTTTTCTAAAACACTTACATTTTAAAATAAATTTTCTATGGGAACTATTTTCCAAAGACATTATTACACTTGCAGCAATGCTTATTAGCACATGTCCATAATTCTATTATATATTGCAACTATTTCATTCTCAATTAAACACATTTATTCTTTGACCATATACAGCAGTCAGATAAGCTTCTTTTCCTGAGACACGAGTTTTATATTGTTAAAGTGGCACAAGAGGAAAAATATTTCTCCTTGCTCTGCTTGTCTTTGTAATATTGCTTTAGCATTTCAATTAGGTACATCTAGCAAAAACTATACTGATAAGTTGTACTGTATCTTACCTCTGTCACTGTCATATAGATATGCAAACTTGTTCCACTGATAGTATTCAATCAAGCTAAGAAGAGCTCCCTTGAGGTCAGGTCTCATCTGAATGACAAATGGGTGTGTTCCATCAGTCGGAAAACTGGGAGTTATGAAGGAGACATGAAGAGTTCCACAAAATGATGTTATGGTATTTACTGACTTCTTGTCATAGAATCCAAAAATTGCAAAGACGCCTCTTGAAAACTGGGAACAGACTAGGAGAGATAGAAACAAAGAAAGATCAATTGTATGAAACAGCATGGATTTATAAAAGTTTGAAACCTATTACATATTTATGTTCTACAAACATGTACACTCACACACTTTAATTAATGGAGAAAGACAATATTTCTAGAAATAACAATATATCTCATATTATTAATCACTAACAAAACTTGATATACCAAAAGCTACCTTAAAACATGATACAATGTAATAATGTATTATATGGTTTACACTCATAAAATAATTATTTCAGAAAGAAAACGTAACGGCTGATTTATAAATTCCATGTATATTGTAAAGAACAGTATTCCAAGCACAAAAGCAAGCTGGAATTTATTTCTTTAAAAATTGATAATTTCATGTCTGACTATAGCACAATTATGGAAATTGCTACTTTTTATCCTATTAAATACAATCTGGTTTTGGTGACAAGGCTTTTTTAGACTTTTTTTCTTACAAAACATCTTAAACAAATACAGTTTCCATTTGTCCTGCTTGAGGAAATTGCAAATTCAAAACTACACACCAAACACACAAAACAGCAAACATAGAAAACAGGAGGATAAGAGGTAGTGGCACTGTATATTGTTGTGTTCTAGTGCATTATTTAATTAAATGTTTAATATCAGCTTTTTAGGACTCAGCAAAAACAGGTCTTCTGGATAACACTTGAGGTCACATTCAAGAAAGAATAATCTCTTGGGTGTAAATAATATGCTGATTATTCATTTTTTTAATCACCGCTACAGACAATTCAAGCCAATAACAATGCTGATCACTGCAGCCTGGGTAAACATCGATGCTTTCTGGGTCATTCTGTTCACTGACACTGCAAATGTCGAATGTGTAGAAGAATATATGGTTCTGTTTACTAAAACTGGGGAGAGGAGGAGAATAAATGAAATATTCATTCTGCTTTTGCTGTGTTATCCCTGAACATCTGTGTTATCTGACTCACATTTCTCCTCCCTGCTTTTATGGTCTGTATGTAGTCAACTGAAATAGTAGGCAGATCCGTCTAGAGCATATGCCCATTAATCTTGACTGCAGTCCTTCAACACAATGTGCTGAGATCTGCTCTCAACTGAATTTATGTAAATCTGGTGTGTAACAGAAGATGATGTTGCCCAAGTATTAATTATGATGATAATTGACCACAGAGACTATATTTTAGGGCAGTGATACTCAAACCCAAACCTCAGTGGTTCAGAAGCCAAATTAGCAATCAACATTACCCAAAAATAAGAGTAGTGTGAATTCATTGTTTCATTTACTATAGTACTATATATTCATATTTAAACTGTATGTCAGGGGAAATATTATATATATTACATACATACATATATACACATACACACACCTCTACCTCGAGATAACTCTGTCCTCAGGAGCCAAAAAATCTTACTGCGTTATAGGTGAAACCACGTTATATCGAACTTGCTTTGATCCGCTGGAGTGTGCAGCCCTGCTCCCCCAGAGCACTGCTTTACCATGTTACATCAGAGTTCATGTTATATCGGGTCGCATTATATCGGGGTAGAGGTGTGTATATGTGTGTATACATATATATATATATATATATATAGATAGATAGATAGATAGATAGATATATAATTCTCACAGCAAAATGACTGACCAAGTACTATTATTTTATCAACTACAATTGGTAACATAGTAAAAGCATCTTGATTGGTTAATAATTAAATCACACATGATAATTAATATCATGTGCTGCAAAGAGTCAATGAAGCCACATTAAAGAGCCACTTGGGTCTGGCGAGCCTCAGTCTGAGTATCACTGTTTTGGGGCATATGTGGAGGGGTAGAATTAAGGTTGAGTTAATTTCAGAATTAACTGACTTCTCATTGATTTGTTTCTCAGACTTTGACTAGTATTAATTAAATGTTTTCTATTTTTAATTTTCTTGGTGTCACAAGCTAGCTGGCCCTTTAAGGCAAGCCAGGCTCACCTTTGCCTGTGACCAAGCAGCTAACCTCCATCTGATGGTAATATGACAACTTAATGATAATTAGTGATCCAATCTGTGAAAGGGTTAGGAAAAGATTATACAAATAGAGAGGAAAACTCATTTAGGGATTGTGTTGTATGGGTTAGGAGCAGGAATACTGAGGTGGCAGAAAAGACTTGGGAAATACATGGGGTTTCAAGTTCTCCATAGCTAAACCAAAAGATTGATCTTTACAAAAAGGATAGCTACAAAGGAATGGAAACTGTATCTGTATGGAGAACAAATAAATATAGTTAAAAGGTTTAAATATATGATACTAAATTATTTTGGAAAGAACATATAGACTATGTTAAAGATAAATGCAAAGGAAGGATCAACTTATTTAAAAGTATTGCTGGAACTAATTGGGAAGCAGATAAGAAAAAACATTACTGATGGTATACAGAGCCTTAATCAGACCAGTTATCGACTAAGGCTGTCAAGCTTTTTGGGTGGGCAACAAAATGAGCACTTTAAAAATTAGATTTAATACAAGCACAAGAACTATAAGTTGTGCATGGTGCATTTATTACAACACACACATGTGCTACAGATAGTTGCTAGTGAAATGCCCGTTACACCACAAATGAAATTATTGGACCTACCTTTCTGGGCCAAAGTTAATGGGAATTGCGAAGATGGAAGTACCAGATAAATATATGAAGATTGTTGGGAATTCAATAGGCAACCTATAGCACACAATGTTAGCGCTCCAGCTGCCATCTGAGTGAATGTGGAGTTGAAAGACAAGGAAAAGTTGAATGAAGTCAGAACTGTTAGTCATGGGAAAAATAGTTATGGATGGAAATTAGCATGTCTAAATGTGGATTTAGATTTATTTTATAAATTTGTGTGTAAAAAGGAGACAATAGGTATAGAAAATGAAGTATACCAGTATATAGATCAAAAGTGGGGTTGTTTTGTTAACTATATATAAGTGGGTCCAAAAAAGGGGGAAAAAAACTAAGACGACTAGGGACAGCATATTGTATATGAAAATTAGGAATTAGTACATCTAAAAGAACATCCAATTTTGTAGCTGTCATGACAGCTGAACTAGTAATAACAATGCTGGTGTTAAACTGGATCTGGGACGTATGCCCAGCAGTGGTGGTCATTTTTTGGGACTCAATATCAGGCCTTATGGCAATAAAAAAGGGAGTCTCTGTAAGCAGAAGTGATTTACTCAACTAAATTATATTTCTAACAACAGTACAGATGGGAATACATGTAGCATTAGCCTGCATCCCAGCACATATTGGGATAGCAGGAAACAAAATGGTGGACAAAGCAGCTGAAAGGTCTGTAGGAATGGAAGGACTGATAATAACCTGCAGTAAACTGGAATTCAAAACCCTAGTACAGAAAAAAATAAAAAAAATGGCAAAAAAATTGGATCAATGAAAAAAAAAGAGGAAGAAGATGTTTTTTGAATTTCGCTCTGGAGTTGAGAATAGCGACATCCTTCAGGGCCTGCATAGGAAAAATGAATTGATTTTGTTTACAGTACTAACTGGCCATTATGGATTAAACAAAAATATTTTTGAATAAACACAAAGATGGATTATGTGCATGCTGTAAGATAAAAGATGTTCAATTTTCTCTTATATGGGTACGTGAGGGTTGAGAAAGAAAGTGAAAAGTTTTCTGAGGAATTTAAATGGCTCAAGGTAACAAAAGTTACATTATGTTATTTAGTGAAAATATGAGAGAAATGGGGTAGTATTAGAAAGCAGTTGCTACATGACCTGAAAGACACAGGGCAGCACGAGAGAATATAAACTGCCCAGTATTTAGGAATTATAGTTGGTGGTGGCTCTAGACTATCCAATCAAGTCTACTTCACCATGGGGACGGAAAAAAAGAACAAGAAAAAGGGAGGGAGAGGCTGCAGAGAAGTAGGGTTGCCAGGTGGCTAGTTGAAAAGGATGCTGGTGGTGCTGACCGGGAAGCTAAAAGTCTGGTCAGCACAGTGGAGCTATGGCAGGCTCCCTGCCTGCTGTAGCTCTGCACAGCTCCCGGAAGCAGTGGCATGTCCCCCCTCTGGCTCTTAGGTATCGGAGCAGCCAGGGGGCTCCACATGCTGCCCCTGCCCCAAGTGCCAGCTCCACAGCTCCCATTGGCCAGGAACCTCAGCCAATGGGAGCTGCAGGGCAGCGCCTGTGGATGGGGCAGTGTGCAAAGCCGCGGCTACGCCTAGGAATCAGAGGGGGGACATGCTGCTGTTTCCGGGGGCTGCTTGAGGTAAGCGTCACCCGGAGCCTGCACCCTTGACCCCCTCCCGTGCCCCCAACCCCCTGCCCCAGCCCGTATTCCCCTCCCACCCTCTGACCCTCGGGGTCAGAGCCCAGAACCCCCTCCTTCACCCCAAATCCCTCATACCCAGCCTCACACCAGAACCCACATCTCCAGTCCGTCTGTCCCCCGCACCTCAACCCCCTGCCCCAGCCCAGAGCCCCCTCCTGTACCCTGAACCCCTCATTTCTGGCCCCACCCCAGAACCCACACCCCCAGCCCAGAGCCCGTATACCCTCCCACACCCCAACCCCCTGCCTCAGCCCAGAGCCCCCTCCCATACTCCGAACACCTCAGCTCCACTCCCCCAGCCCAGAGCCCCCTCCCACACTCTGAACCCCTCAGCTCCAGCCCAGAACCCCCTTGTTCACCCCAAATCCCTCATCTCGGGCCCCAACCCAGAGCCCTCACCCTCTCCCGCATCCCAACCCACTGCCTCAGCCCAGAGCCCCCTTCTACCCCCAGTGAAAATGAGTGAGTGAGGGTGGGGACAGTGAGTGACAGAGGAAGAGGGGATGGAGTGAGTGTGTGGGGGGGTGCCTCGGAGAAGGAGTGGGGCAGGGGCAGAGCCACGGAGGAGGGGAAAGGCAGGGCAAGGGTGTTCGGTTATGTGTGGATAGAAAGCTGGCAACCCTACAGAGAAGGCAGGACTCTGCTATAGGTAGGAAAACCCACAGTGAGCAGGG